GAACATCGTATTACCTAACTATGTATTCTGTTTTTCATGATACAAAATCAATTTATATTTAAAATGTTGAATATATTATATTTTACTACTTAATATTATGTAGACGTAGTAGTTTTAGCTACAACCTTCTTCTAAAGCGTTTTTCGAGACATTTTATGGTTTATATTGCGTCAAGTCATATCGGACATCGTATAAGTAGAACATAGACGATCTTCTACTTCATGAGATTGATTGAGTATGCGTATTACAATAATATTATCAATAATAATAGCAATACAATCGAAGTAGAGCCTTGCTAATAGACTTACCGCTCTTTATTCGTAGCTCTTTACTTGTAGCGAAATTGTCTTCACCGTTAAAAATACGAATTTATTGACAAGTTATAAGGATCATTGTAAAAATATTGTTGAATTTGTGAACGTTTATTCTTTTTTCGGAATAAAAATGTGCCATCCTTAACACGACATTGCGTCTTGGGGGTTTTTTTCCGGCACGACCAGTTGAACGCGACGGCGGCGTGGTGGTGGTCGATTTAGTACGCATATATTATGTCGTAAGTGTCGCATTATTTGTTTTTCATTTTAAATTTTTATTTATTCCCACCGTTAGTCTCTCTCCACTATCTCACCCGCCTGCCCACCCTTCCACCACTTTCCCTTATGTAGGTTACAACGTTGCTCATATCGTCGGGTACAAATGGAGGGTCGTGACGGTCGGGGAGGGTTGGCGAGAGTTTAATTTTATTCGTTGACATTTTGCGCTGTCCGCATTATTATTACTACTACATGACGGAGAACACTCGAGGGGAAATAATACGAGCACATCGCCCGACGGCTATAAATCTGGCGACCAGCAGACCTTTCGGATCTTGAAAAATGCCCCCCCCCTGCTGCCACGAACTCGTAGCGCACTCGTATACTGCAGCGGCGTGTGCGTTGAATTTATTATATGCGGTCTTCGGTCTTACGTGCTCGCTCGGCCGTCACTCCACAGTAGGTACCTACCAATATATTATATACATATGCCCCGGAATAATAACAGTAATAATAATAACAATAATAATAATAATAATAATAATAATAGAAAATACGTCTGCCGAAAACTCGGAGACCCGAAGAGACGTAGTAGTAGGTCGGTCGATTGACAGGCCTCGACTGAATATCGTATTTTTATAAATTATAAAGGTAAATCTTTTTGGGTATGATACTTGATTCAATATAATAATATGTTATCTACCGTACTCGCCATATATATTATACCACATACCCTTTTCAATTCAATGTATCGTATTTTATAAAACTACCTAAAAAAAGAAAAATAATTTCCATCAAAGCCCGTCATTGTATCATAAACATGTCTTTTGGTTCACAAGGATTTGCCATTTAAAATTATAATTATATAATAGTAGTGCTCAGAGGCATGATAAATGATATAATAAAGTATGTTCGTGAGGTTTGTGAAAAAATTTATTTTTTGTATGTAGATTCCAAAAAACTATATATAGAGAGCTCGTTAAGTATTTGTTTATTAAGTTGTAATACGGAATAAATAAAAATGTATTTGGATAAAGGATTTAATTTAAATAAGGGATTATGTTCTATGTCCTGTATTCGTTTTACCTTGTTATATTAGAAAAAATTTGTTGGTTAGATGTGTACCTATATCCATTAGACACGGTTGCCCGTGGTGTTTGTGAGTCCACTATAGAGACTTTGGTCAATGGTAAATTTTTGTTTCATTTATTCATATTTTTTAACGAAACAATGCATTTTAACGCAAAGTGATTGAGCAATGTCAGAAGCGGAAGCAGTAACGCATCGTTTGGTGTTCAGATTATTGAATATGGTGCACTATTGGTTGAGAAAAAGGAATGTTAACATCAGAAATAATGTATATGATTATGTACCTGCCTACTCACAATCATCAATCATCATCGACCATAGTAACGGACGAATCAAGTCACCATAGTAACAAATGATAACATCCTCAAGTGTAACGAAATTATAATTTTAGATTCTGAGGGGAGCAAGGAAGCTAGTGGTTTTACAATGGTGTTTATTTTTTTTTATATCCTGTATACAAAATGTCTACCAGAAGGAGTGCTTTGATTACAACATATATCTTATCTTTTAGCAAATTGGATCAAGATGGTAATTTAGAGAGGTAATTTTTCGATTTTCTAAATAGTTATTCAATCCCATGAAAATACCGCTGACAAATTACAGAAAACGGGATTTTAATTTCTAACTCTTTATCTATCACCATAGAGACGAATAAATAATTATAATATTATAATATCAATTCAACTTACAGGCTATAATAAATAATAACAATATAAAATAACCAGACTGACAAACTATCTCCGCTCAAAATCGTTTTGTTTATACAATGATATTATATCATTGGATTAAAGTTCAATACAATCTATTATACATTGAAACACTTGAAACTTACTGTACAGCAGAGTGACATCCATTTACCCGTTCTTTATTATATTATGTTCTCGTTCGACGTTCATCGTGTTAACCCGTGATACCATAGCAACAACTGTAACGAAAATGTCGAAATTCAGATATAGCCAGTAGTGTTAAAAAAAAGACATATTCAAGTAGTCAAGTAATCAAATGATTAGGATCTGAGGAATTGTCAAGTTAGGCTTCAGATAAAATTCTTCTTCCTAAAAATCGTTAATATAAGTATCTTAGAGATAATCTAAGATGGCCCTGGATTGATGGACCAAATTGTAAGAAACTAGTTTTAATAACGCAGATTTTAATAAAAAAAAATATTTATTTATTGTTTTGAGTTACATGTTTTCTTTTTGTATCAAATGTATTGAATTTAACTAAGTATTTATTATTAGTTGTTCCAAAATGAAAATAATACTTTGTAGACTCCGTATATGACTCCAAGATCCAAGTAAGTGGTTCACACTTCCCTTTTTTCGAGATGTTTATTATAATAATTTCCTGTTTGATTCACGGTATAGGTACCACCAGAAATCGTATTTTCTTGAACTCGAGATTTTTTTTATTATTTTTTTTTGTCGATCTCAAGCATCGGCAACTATGTTCATTACATTTTGTAAGGAGAGTTACGGTTAGGTTATTTAATTTATTCGCCATTAAATACCGGGGTAGTCAACAATCCTGGAACTAGCGACGCTGGCCGATGCTTGACCTCAGAAAACGGTAGTGACTGAGGTTTAACCAATGAGCCACGTCAGGCTCAAAGAGCTCGAGATTTTTATCGTCATTTATATTGTAGAAAATGATTTTATTTTAATAAATAAATCATATTAATTCTAGTTTATTGTTTATATTTTATCTTAAGTTATTTTTCATTAACCTAACGATACGTCTACAAAGATTCAACGACTGCATCGTACAGATAACACAGCTGCATATGGTGACGTCGAAGAGTTTTCGAGATTTAAACACTATATAGACAGTAATCAAATAAGTTCAAATAATTTTGAAGGAATCCAATCAATCCCAGCAGGCGAATTTAGTTGAAACTTTTAGGATTTGATTTCTTTGCGTTTACTGTTATGAGCGATGAATTTATGTCGATGTCGTCAGACGATTGTCATAAAATAAAACGAGCCGTTTTGTTTCGGAAAATGATTATAGTTAAGTACACATTATCGCTGCTATCTGAATGTATAAAACACGTCATAGTTTGAGATTATAAAATACGAAATAGTTTTTGTGTTTTGTATGGTACATAATTGTAAATATTATAGTGACCGAAAATCGGTTAAAATAATAATTGCGAACCGTGTCTCAGCCGGCTATAAAGTTTTTAGTCTCAAAAAATGTTGGCGCTGAAAATTTGAAAACTATTTACAATGTCGCGTTGGTTTTCGTATAAATATTAGAAAAATCGTATAATATTAATATTATATAATATAATATCGTACGAAACAGTTTTCTCCATTCGATTATGTGCGACCTTTTGATCGTCATCAACAACATTATATAGGACACCAATCAGCCGGAAAACAAAATCAAATGCGAAATCGCTGTTATCTATTATTATTATTATTATCATCATCACCATCATTATTATCGTTATTATTATTATTATTATTATTATTATCGTCATTGTAGTCGTCGTCACTAATCGTTTTTGTTCGGTCGAGCTGTGTAAAATACATATTATTATATAAATATTATACCACCGTCGAGCGTTGTACGCGTTTTGTGGTCTGCAGAGTAGTTGCTGCTGTGAGAGGCGCATTCCGAGCGTTTGTTTAACGAGGGACGGCCGCCGATGTGTAAATATAATAGGAAAACGCAATCGCTGAGCAAATATTATATCGTCGCGAAATCGTCGTCGTGGCTTCGGCTGCAGATCCGTCAGTAATTAAAAATTATACATTATACCGTTTTATACATTATTAATATATTAATATATTATGTACAGAGTCGTCGTTCGGTTAACGTCGTCGTATCGACTCCCTCCGCCGGTGGGTGGGCGTGCGACCGAGCTTAATCGACGTCAAAAAAGGATATACTCGCGATATCTGCCGGTTCGACGGTGTGGGAAAGAGGGGGCGATGGTTAAGAAGGGATGGAATACTCTCGGTGTATATAATAATAATATAATATAATATAAATCGTTATTTCGACTCGCTTGCGCGTTCCCGATAATCATCTCCGACCCGATTTATTTATATATTATATATATGTTTGGAGATCAGCTCGGCTATAAATCTTTTCGTTTACCTCCCCCTGCCCCGCCACCACCAGCGCCTCCGCGCACACGTCGAGTTCGCAAATTTTCCTTATAGTACGATACATAATATATATATATATATTACACTACGCGCTCTATGTGTTTCGTAGTATTGTTGAGTTTCGAACATATATAATATATTATATCTCTACAGTGGTATCTATTGTATATTATGAATGTGCGGTGTTTGAAAAGTGAAGTAGACCTGGAAATCACGATTTTTCTTCTTGGAATCACCCGACGACGACGACGACGTCAAATCACATAGGATTTTGTGATCGTTTAATTATACGTTGACCACGTTTAGATCTGAAAATTCCTGAAGCGGAGACTTTGCCGATATCGCATTCTGAGTCAGAGACCACAGTTTTCTTTCTCAGAATTACCGGACGACGATAAACCGCATAGGATCGTATGATATTACATTTCCCAGGTTTGGATCTGAAGATTCCCGAAGTCTCTGACTTTAGTGGTATTTTGGACTGGTAGGACCGATGATCCACTGATACGACAGTGCAGCCAAACACGGTACTCGAGTAATAAGTGATAGATCGACAAAACGGCGTATGGCGACAAGTGACTCTGACGAGGTCTTGGGTTTCACGGTCTACAGATGAGTTTCCGGTCGCAGAAAACTCGGAACGAACTATATGAAATTCACGTGTCACGTCCATCCGCTTTGTTCACTTACCCATCATTCATTTCTGTTATTTTGTCGTACAGAATCGTAACTCGTCGTATCGTACGTTTATTATTCATATTATGGAGGTACCTATTATAGGTACTATCGAGTTTCGAGACTATTTTAACGTTATCGAAAAAGTACGGTGTTTTTAAATGTTTCGCGTTTCTCGATATAATACGTTAGTGATAGGTATGTATTTGCAATTTGCAGAATAAAATTCTAACATTCTTGAGATGCCGAATCGGCTACCTGCGCCATGCACCGACACAAACCAGCGACGGACCGTGGTAATCGACTTTTTTGGGGGGTTAGGGGTGGATGCTGCGACATAGACGTATTACGACAAGAAGGGTCTTCGCTGGGCTGGTCGTGCGTGACACGCGAAACCGTTCGATCATCGTACGCAATACGGACGGCCGCGCGCCTATACCGGAGACGAGGAAATGGTTGTAGCGACGGCATTTCGAGCGAGATATTATTGTCCCCGCGGGGGAAGTCTTGATAATAATAGTAATAATAATAATAAAAAAAAGAAAACGAGAAGAATTTACCGCGCTGACTCCTTTTCCGCGAAACAACCGGCATCGATTAGCTCGGCTTTTCCAGAAAATATATTGTTCAAGTGGATCGAAACATTTTCCTCTGCATCGACCCAACAACTGTTTATCTCCTTCTCTCGGCTCAGAGGAGCGAGTCGATCGAGTTATGTTTATTGAGTGCGTCGTCCCGTTTAACGAAATTCCAACTTCGGGACCGTTATGCCACACACAATTAGTATAGATTCATCATTTGCGTAGCCCTATTTTTTCTTTCATCTGAACAATAGTAGGTACCTATTTGGACTGTAAATATTATTATTTAAGAATATAAAATAATAACGCTTCAAACCGACAACGATGATAACTTTATTGTCATCTATTTTTCGATCTATGACCGACGAATAAAGCAGGAAATCGAATCAAAACTTTGTGTAGGTACCACTATAATAAAATCGTTTTTTGTTTTCATGTTTTCAATATTACACAATTTAAATTTTAAACATTTAACCAATGTGGGCTATATATTTTGAAGCCCAAATCGAGAGTTAATTGTTCAAGAAATCTAAGGTATAGAAGAGAACCCGGTCATGATTAGAAGTTATCGTAGTCATAGACTACTAAGTGTGGTAAGACTATTAAGTGCAATGTGAATACCTTGTTGCCTTTTTTTTTCAAAATATTTTCCGAGTTTCACGTGCACTTAACCTGCAGTATCGTACTCACGGGGGGGGGATGGTCATGGGGTTTGACCCCCCCCCATCGGCCAATATTTTTTTTTTACAACAATCTCACGATTATTGATTAAGTGATTAAATTAATATAATAAATAACAAGGTGCTCTGCTGTACAGTAGGTTACAAGTGGGTCACTGTATAATGGATGGTATTAAATTTTAATTCAATGATATAATATCATTGTATAAGAAAAACGATTCTGAGCGGAGACGGTATGTCAGTCTAGGTATAAGACATACTATATAATTATCTATGGTATTAAAAAAATTTACATATGTATTTTTAATATTTTTCAACTGATATTGTAACAATATATCAGGAGCCTTGTATTAAATTTTGAAACTTTTTGGCCCAACAGATAAAATTTAATTGATATTTATAGAAAAAAAACTAAAAAATTGAAAACTGAAAATGTCCGTAAACAGCTCAAAAAGAGTCAAAATATTTTCAAAATTTTATCGTGTATAGGAAATGCTAATATAAGCATTCAATGAAATGTTCAAGTACCTACAGTTATTCGTTTTTGAATTACAACAAAATACAGAAATCACTACGTGAGAAATCGAGTGAATATCCAATGTTGTAAAAATTTGAATTTCAAATGCTCATAAAAATTTAATTTGACTTTCTTATAGACATTTTTTTTGATAAAGGTAGATAATCTTATAAGGAACCTTGTATTACATTTTAAAATCTTAGATTCAAAAAGAAATTTTTTTACGAATTCTTAACTCAAAATAATTTCCATATTTTGTCAATTTTTGAACTTTAAATGCTTTTAAAAAAAAAACTGTGACTAAGGATTTTTAATATTTTTCATCTGCCTTCGAAACAATATGCTAGGAGCCTTCTATTAAATTTTCGAGCTTTTTTAACCAACAAATAAAATGAAGAAAGAAACAAAGAAAATGCTAATATAAACATTCAGTCAAGATTTCATCTACCTAAGGTCATTTGTTTAAGAGTTGCACCAAAAACCAAAATCGATTTTCTCAAAAACAGATTTTGCTTAAAAATTCTCGTTTTTCCTTTATTTTTCTTTGGTTTTTCACTGTGCTTTTGAAAACTGCTGGAAAAATTTACTTTTGACCACCCAAAGTACTAACTAGATTCACTTTGCTATAAGAAAATATACTGTTGAAAGAAAATCCAAGTACTTTTACTGTCCTAAAAGGTAGAGATGGAGAATTTACGTAAAAAAAATATTGGTAAAAATGGTAAAATAGATAAATCTTAGAGCCATTGTTATTTTTTACTATTACACATTAGTAACTCGATTTGTATTGTCTACTCATATTGTATACCTACTTGTTAAATATGATTCTTTCTAATAATAACAATAATTAACAAAAAATCTAAAATATGATAATATATATTATCAATTGTTCTGTATTAGACATTAGTAATTAGTACATTTTATGAAATATGAATATTTAATTATTCATATTACAATTAATAAATAATTTAAATTAAACTAAACTATCAAAATTCTCATAACCCTTATTACTCTTTAAGTCAAAAAATATATATTTAGACTTAACTTTTGTATTAATAATAATTAATAGTATATTATCAATATCATATTATCTGTCTTTTTGGTATCTGCGATCTGCCTATAAAAAATTTTTCCTAATTACCTACTGATATTTAATGTTTAAAAATATATTATAGTTTGCAGAATATTGATACTATCTATATTCTATAGTCTATAACAAACTATATAAACAATAACAAGTATATCAATATTATAAATGATAATATTACTGTATCAGTTGATAAAAAAGATATCTCTTTACAATTTAAACTAGGCATTTTTGATTTCATTTAATTAGAGGGGCCACACAACAATTTTTTTGGTAAAAAATAATTTACTGGTAAAAAAAATGGGTAAAATTTACGGTAAACTTTTTTACCGGTAAAAATTTACCTGGTAAATTTACAGCACTCACATCTCTTCTAAAAGGTGACAACAGACACAAAAATAAAAAAAAACCACACATCATTGTAAAATCAATACATTCATCGTTCCACCCAGAATCTAAAATAAAAATAAAATTAAACAATGGTCTGTTTTAGATTCTGAGCGGAGCGATGAATGTATTGGTTTTACAATGATGTGTGTTTTTATATTTTAGATTCTGAGCGGAGCGATGAATGTATTGGTTTTACAATGATGTATGTTTTAGATTCTGAGCGGAGCGATGAATGTATTGGTTTTACAATGATGTATGTTTTTATATTTTTATTTATATTTTTATTTATATTTTAGATTCTGAGTGAAACGATGAATGTATTGATTTTACAATGATGTGTGTTTTTTTATTTTTTTTTTATTTTTTATTTTTTTTTTTTTTTTTATTTTTTTTTTTATTTTTTTATTTTTTTTGTGTCTGTCATCACGTTTTAGGACAGTAAAAATGCTTGGATTTTCTTCATCAGTAGCTTTTCTGATAGGAAAGTGAATCTAGTTGGTACTTTGGGGGGTCAAAAGTATAAATTTCCCAGTAGTTTTCACAAGCGCCGGGAAAAACAACATAAAAATTAAGGAAAAACGGGAATTTTTACGCAAAATTCGTTTTCCAAAAAATCGATTTTGGTTTTTGGTGTAACTCTGAAACAAATGAACGTATATACATGAAATTTTCACTGGTTGTTTATATTTGCATTTTCTATACACGATAACATTTTCAAAATATTTTGATTTATTTTGAACTGTTTAGGGACATTTTAATTTTCCATTTTTTTTTAGTTTTTTTTCTAAAAATATCAATAAAATTTTATTTGTTGGTTGCGAAAGCTTGAAAATTTAATAGAAGGCCCCTAATATATTGTTTCAAAGGCAGATGAAAAATATTAAAAATCCTTAGTCACAATTTTTTTTTATAAGCATTTAAAGTTCAAAAATTGACAAAATATGGAAAAATCACGAAAATTAGCAAATTATTTTGAGTTAAGAATTCGTCAAAATTTTTCTTTTTAAATCTAAGATTTGAAAATTAAACACAAGATTCCTTATAAGTTTGTCTACCTTTATCAAAAGAAAAATGTCTATAAGAAAGTCAAATTAAATTTTTATGAGCGTTTGAAATTCAAATTTTTACAAAATTGAATATTCACTCGATTTCCCATGTAGCGATTTCCTTATTTTGTTGTAATTCAAAAACAAATAACTGTAGATACATGAAAATTTCACTGAATGTTTATATTAGCATTTCCTATACACCATACAATTTTGAAAATATTTTGACTCTTTTTGAGTTGTTTATGGACCTTTACACCTTTCAATTTTTTTTAGTTTTTTTTTCTATAAATGTCAATAAAGTTTTATCTGTTGGGCAAAAAAGTGTAAAAATGTAATACAAGGCTCCTGATATATTGTTCCAATATCAGTTGAAAAATATTAAAAATACATAGGCACAGTTTTTTTTTATAAGCATTTAAAGATCAAATTTTGACAAAATTTATCAAAATCTCGAAAATTATGAATCATTGTAATTAATAAATTATAAAATGTTCAGTTTTTATAGCTAAGGATTGCAAATTCAACACAAAGGTTCTCGTAAATAGTTCATACTGTAACCAAAAAATCTAAAAAATATATGAACACAGTTATTTTTTACAGACATTTTAAATTCAAATTTGGACGAAATTACATATTGAAAAACCTAGAATAACTATTTTAGTTATTTTGTAGTGATTGAATAATATTATTCGTGGATACTTGAAACTTCTAAAGTGTACTATTATATATCTATGATAGTATCAAGGTTTTTGTTGATGTATAACGCGTTATAAGTACCTAATGGATATTTTGATATGATTAATTTGGAATTTATTATATGTACTCATTATAGGTCAAATTTTTGTTTAATACCATAGATATGTACATAATATGTCTTATACATAGACTGACATACCGTCTCCGCTCAGAATCGTTTTTCTTATACAATGATATTATATCGTTGAATTCAAATTTAATATCATCCATTATACAGTGACCCACTTGTAACCTACTGTACAGCAGAGCGACACCCACTTGCCCACCTTTTTATTTATATTTTTATTTATATTTTTGTGTCTGTCATCACGTTTTGGGACAGTAAAAGTGCTTCGATTTTCTTCAATAGTACCTTTTCTGATAGGAAAGTGAATCTAGTTGGTACTTTGGGGGGTCAAAAGTAAACATTTT